AATCTCAATATAAAATTCTAAATAAAATTAATTTTGAATAATTAATAACTAAACATTGTGGTATTCTTACAGTAGGAATAAATTAATTAAGAAATCAAACGAGGCAATTACAAATCAAAAAGTAGTAAGTCACTACTCTAGACATTGTTCACCATTCCTGAACATTTTCTCTTCAAATGAAAACATTTGTAATAACTCATAATTTTTGTGAGAACTTCATTACGCATTATCAATTTAAATATGACTAAATCATACTGGTTCAACTTCACAAAATCATCTTTAGAATTTGTTTCTTGTAAAATGAGTTTTTGGATTTCATTTATATAAAAAAAGCAAAACATTAGAATACATCCATTTAAACATGAAGTTTCAAAAAATACAGTATCTCAAACTGAGAAATTTTTGATAAAGATATGACTGGCTCAAGATGATTTAATGTTGCCTTTTATCAAAATTTTCAATACTTTAATATAAGTAAAAATAAATGCTCCTCTCACCATTAAACTTTCACTTTTAAATTTTAAAGTAGTCAGAGGGATTTCGTTCCTATGGGAACTAATTCAAGAGGATGAACAAAAGATACTTAATGATCCTAATGCCCTGCTCTTTGTCCCAGTTATCTGACCTATATTTCCAGAGGTAGCATTATAACCTAGAGCTCTTTTTTTCCCACAAAATATCCTGGCTTTCACTTTTTAACTGGGGCAAATGTTAACAACCAGACAGAACTTTTAATTAGGCAACACATTTTATTCTTAATACTTTTACTATTTTATAAAACAAGCAAAAGGCAGAATTTGATGTATTATAAATAAGAAAACTGCAACATTTTATATCACCCATGACTTTCTTCCTTATTCCTTTAGCAACATTTGGATGGACTGTTAGAAGGATCTCTAAAGTAGGCTTATAGATAAGTTAGAAAATTTCTTTGAAGCATTCCACCCTTCACATTTTATCAACTTACAAAATCAGTTTGTCCTATCCACACTTACTTCATTTTCCATCTCTATCTCTCTACAATCAGTCAATCAACATTACATTCTGTTCTCTTTACACTGTTCTTTGTGATGTGAAATAAGAGGGCACAAATGTCTGCTTCTTTCAGAATCCTCTTCTCACACAATCTGATAGCTGGATAGCATCTTGCAAGTTATCTAGTCTAACCTCCTACCCGATCGTTTCTACAACATTATGAACTTACAGTCATACAACCTTCACCTGAACCTCACTACTTCTCCAGGCAATCCCTTTCTTCATGTGGCAACTCAAAAAATTAGTTTTTCCATATATTGAACTGAAATCTTGCAACTTCTAACCAGGGGTCATGCTTCTATCCTCTGGAGAACCAAAGTATAAATCTATTATCATTATCTATATGACAATCCTTCAAATATTCAAAGATAGCTATCATGTTCCCCAGAGTTTTCTCCAGGTTCAAACATCTCTAATTCCTTCAAATACTCATTTGATGAGGATTTCTGATTTCTTGACAGCCTGACTACACTCTTCTGAAAGTACTCAAATTTATAAATGCATCCCCCCCCTTAAAATGTGCAACCCAGAACTAATCATGCTTTAAATGTGGTCTATCCAGAGCCAGTTATAATTCAGTCAAGAAGTAGTCATTTAATGTCTACTGTATAATGAACCCTGTGCTAGACAATGGAGAGTGTATAAAGTTTATGTCCCTTCTTGGAAAAACATTGTATCCATCTGTATGGGCCCAGATCAATGTGTGGGGCATCTTTTGTATATTCTGTTTCAGTATCTATATTAAAAGATTCTCTTTTTTAAAAAAAGAACATAAAAATTTAGATAAAAACAAAGACTCTTCCCTTGTGGAATACTAAGGGAGAAATTAGAGAGGTAGAAAAAGAATGAGGCAAATGTGCTGTTTCAAGTGGAGGGAAAAGGTGTCCAGTAGGAAGGGCTGGGCAACAGTCTAAAAAACTGCAGAGAAGTCAAGGATGATAATGACAAAAGAAAGGCCATTCAATTTACAAATTATGATATCATTAATGATCTTTAAGAGAGCAGTCTGAGTAGAGCAGTTAAGGCAGAAACTAGAATGTAGAGGTAAGGAACAGGGGGGCAAAGAAGTGGAGGCATCAGGTACAGAAATTTTTTTCAAGTAATGTAAAAGGGAAAGAAGAAGAAAAGCAGGACAATAGCTGTACTATTCTAAGTTTGGTTGTTTGGGTTCTAAGGGTTCTAAGTTTGATGCAGAGAAAATAAAGTCAGACTTGGAATAATGAGAACAGCTAGGTAGGAGCTCTGGCAATACCACTCACTAGAATTATGACATGAAACAAGTCATTCTTCTCTGTGCCTCTGTTTGCTCATCTGTAAAATGATCTCTAAGGTCCCTAAATTCCAACATTCTGTAAACACCATCGTTTTAATGATGCAGCCTATGACTAAGTATCTTTTCCACCACACTACATACATACTGAATTTGTTAACTAAGACACCTGGGGCTCTTTCATGTGCATTTCTAATCAATATAAGTCAACTCCATAGTGTTAAAATCACATAGAGAATTTTATATTTATTCCTGCTAAATGTAATCTTATCTGATTCAACACATCATCATAAAAGATCAAGATCATTTTGAACCTTGATTCTGTCAATTGGATTTCCTGTTCCTATTGGCTTTGAATCATCTCCAAATTTCATAAACATAACTTACATGTCTTCATTCATGCCACTTACAAAAATGTTCAACATAACTGGGACAAGGACAAAGCTAACCGATATGCCAGTGGGTTACCACTGTTTAAACAAGGGCACACCCACCCAATGGTACTATAATCCAGTACCATTTCTCCATCTTACCCACAAAGATATCACAAGACTTTGCTAAATACAATAACAACATCAAGGTATACTGCAGCAGTGCCATGATCAATTAACATAATGATCTTATCAAAACAAAAGAAATAAATTTAATTAGGCATAATTTGTTCTTATTGAATCTTTACAAGATATTAGTAGTCACCACTTTTTTCTCAAGTACACTCAAATTGTCCATTTAACAAACCATTATAGAATTTTCACAGGAACAAATAAAGCCAAGCTTATTTATGAAACTACTTTTTTGAAAAATCAGGACATTTCATATATACATATGTGCATATATACATATATAATGTGAATGTAATGCTTACTGATGACTTTTCCTTCACATTGCAGGCATTTTCCACCTCCCCTACCCTAACTGAAACTCCTTCTGTGACAAAGAAAAACAATGAAACAAAATACCAAATACAGATCATATCTGATAATGTATATGATATTCTTCAGGACATTACTCTTAAAGATCATAGGCACATCTATGATTTCTTTTTATTTCCTGGAAATTTGATTTAAACTGGCTACTGACTCCTCTCTTAGACTTCAATTCTTCCTTTCTTGTTATTTTACCCTTTTTAGTTAGAACTTGATGGAAAAGAAGGAAGCAAAACAGTCAAATAACTCTGCCTTTACTCAGTCATAAATATACCATCTTCCTTGTTCAAAAGAAAGTATAGATTACACATGATGGAGGCAAAATATATTCCAAATGCCTGAAATTATGCTTTAGTATCTTCCTAGATGCTCACAGGGAAATAAGTATGTATGTAGTGTACTTCATTTAGTCATTTCTCAATCAAACATCTAACAAAGGGCAACAGAGAATAGTGTACCACAAATTTCTAGTGAGGTCCTTATCAGAAACACCCTATGTTCACAATAAAGTAAGGATCAGTTATATGGCATGCAACAGCACAATGCCTTCTTCCCGGCTACCTCTAAGAGCTAGTGGCTGAACTACACTCTTCATTTGAGCCATTCAGCAGCTCCCCCTAACTCAGCGCTTTTGGGTCAGAGTGATCAGCAGCCTTCCAACCTTGCTTGAGTCAGACTGATCTTTTTTAATTTATGGATTTTCAGTAAACTTTCATTTAAAAATTCAGGAGAATTTTATATATGCCAGACATGATAAAAGTTTTGGTGAGTTTTTTATCTTGGTATTATCTCAACACAGAATTATCTCAACATGGAATTCAATAGCAAGAAAATTTTAGCCCTGGTTCTCAACAAGTAAAATTCAGCCTGGTGGAGTCTATTACTCTATTCTTTTTTGGATGGTGGCAGTATTGAACCATTTCAAAATTATTACCTTCCACTGCTCTATGAACACTAAATTCCAAAGAAATGGAAATGTGAAGATTATATGGGGGGTTTTTTTATATGGAAGTTATTTCCAGAGTGACTTTAATACTTTCAACATGTTTATGTAATTTTAAGTTGTGCTTTTGTAAACAGAGAACAATTAAAAATATCAGGTATAATTTATGAAAATTTCAAAGTAAAAATACGAACTATCATAAGATGCTTATTTATTGTTTTTTCCAGATATGAACTGACCAATAAATGATTCACATCATCCTATAACACAATCATTCATTAAATAATACCTCTGCAAGAATGAAATGCTTCCTTTTCTACAAAGAATATACATAAGAAATTTGATGTTTCTGGCTAGCAAAGAAAGATTCACATTTCCATTCCAGTGTTTTTGTTCCATGTAATCCTTATTTTCTCTCTCTTTCACATGAGAAATACCACTTTTAAGAGCAAAGAGGGAAAATGCTAAAAGAAAAAAAAGGCCCTGCTTCTCAGAATACGGGTAAGTTAGGCACTCCTACCTCTTTCCAGAGTCCTTTATTTACAGCAGAAGTCAGCAAATTACAGCCATTGCCAATTTTGTTCAGTTTGTAAACTAAGTATAATTTTTACATTTTTTAAATACAATGAAAGTTTATTTAAAAATAAAAAAGCCATTCTTAGCTCTTGGGCAATTTGCTAACCCCTGTGCTGAAGAATTATTTCGTCATCTTAAAATCTTTTAAAATGACTAAATAAGATAGACAAAAGACATTTTTGTTAATATTTTCAGTTTGTAATGTGATAATATGTTAAATCTAAGATATACATCCTCTATTTGATTTTACCTTTCTTTGTTCCTGTTCCTTCTGCTGAAGTTTATGGACTAAATGGCTGGCTGCTTGCACTGCAATAGAATAGAAAGTGACTGTAAGTTTGCATACAGGGAGAAAAATTGACTTCTATAATTCTGAAGTTGAAAAAGATAATAGGATTCAATTAGTCCAACCCTCTTGATTCAGAGAGGGAGACTGAAATCCAGAAGGCACACAGCTAGATTGGGAATTGAACCAAAAAATGTTAAGGGCTTTAAATTATTATAATATCACTGCATATTTTGCAAGTATATCAATTTGCCAAGAAAATGTTTGCCAATACATGTAAGAAAGTCACTATAAATCCAAAGCAGAAACTTCATTCCTTAAGCATTCTAGAAACTAAATAGATAAGGTAGCTATACATTCCTATGATTACATACCTCTCAGGATCTAAAAAAATGTAAAATGCCTGATAAGTTAATATTAGAAGTAAATATTTTTTCAATCTCTTACTCCTATTTCTCTTTCTATTCCAATTGCCACAATTCTAATCTAAGCATCTCTTCACACCTACACTAATGCAGGTTTCCAAATACTTCCTCCCATCTTTAGTCTCTCCTCCTCCAACTGGTCCTATATCCCACAGCCACATTAGTCTTATTAATTTTATCAAGTCACACATGCCAATAGGATCTCCCCAAGTTTCTCAGTACACCCAAAAAATACCTGCCACTCTATTTTATTTCCTTATGCTTAAAACAACATCTGTGTCTTTGCTCAAGCTGTTTTCTCTCCCTACCAAAAATCCTTTTTCTTCTCCTTTCTAAAGCTTACACTTTTCTTAGTGACTAGCTCAAGGTTCATCTTTGCATGAATTGCTTTTTTAGTAACCTCATCATATAAGCAGTTGCTACTTATTCTGAACTCCCTTAGCACTTATACACACAGATAGTATAACATTATGTGACAGTTATATATTAACTGAAGATTATTTCACATATCTTCTACTCATTTAGACCATAAGTTGCTTGTGAGAGCTTGTGAAACACCTTGATATAATAGTACTAGAAGAAAAAAATTGGAAAGAGAAAAAATGGTTTAGAATGGAAGAAATTTTACCCAAGATCTAGACTCCCTGAAAAACAGAATGAAGCAATCAGAACTCAATGACTACACAAGACAAGAAATATTTAAACAAAGCTAAAAAATTTGGGCAGGGGTTAGCAGGAAGGGGAGAGCTATAAAACAGAAGAAAATCTATGGTATCTACTATCAAAAACAACTACCCTGGGAAATCAGTCAATGAGAGGTAATTTAAGACTCATCTGACTCCCTGAAAACCAAGAACACACAAAGAACTTAAACAATAAATTTCAAGAAATCATAAAAGAAAACTACCCAGATGTATTATTGCCAGAAGGCAAAATAAAAACAGAAAGACTCTATCAGTCACTTCCTGAGAAATCTCAAACTGAAAACACCCAGAAATGTCATAGCTAAAATCCAGGGCTTCCAAATCAAAGTATAAATAGTTCAAGTACACAAAAAGAGAGTTTAAGGATCAAAGAACCAGGCTTTTGCAAATTTCATTTGTGAAGATGCCACTCCCCCTCAAACAAAATATAGAATTAGAGTACAAAAATCCTGAGGCAGAAGACAAAAAAATCAAGAGATAACAATAATGGAAGGATATTTGAAAATTCTAAAAACAGGAATAAAGATAGAACATAAAATTATAATCTAAGTATAAGTCTTCCAGAAAACCATGATTTTAAAAATGTATATCATATTACAGAAAAATCACACAAGAAAATTTGTAAACAGGGGCAGCTAAGTGGCACAGTGGATAGAGCACTGGCCCTGAAGTGAGGAGAACCTGAATTCAAATCTGGCCTTAGACACATAACACTTACTAGCTGTGTGACCCTGGGCAAGTCACTTAACCTCATTGTCTAGCCAAAAAAAGGCAAAAAAAAATTAAGGAAACGTAAACAGATGTCAAAGTATTGATCAGGAGACTCTACAGAAAACCAACAGAAAAACTCAAGTTTAATTCACAAAGAAACTTTATGGTCAAAACTCAGAATTATAATATCAAACAACAAATATTGGCTACTGCCAGGAAAAAAAATAAAGAAAAACCTTTTACATGCCAAAGAAAACCAATCAGAACAGCACAATACCCCTCATTTACAAGAAATCAAAGAATCAACTGGGAATTAGTATGAAAAGCAAAAATTAGTCTGCACCACAAAATTTCATATCCTGCAAAGCTAAGCCTAGTCCTCAATAAAAAAAAAAAAGTGAACAACCAGCAAAAAGGGAAGAATTCAAGTCATTCCTTCAAAAATCCCCAGAGGTGAGCAAGGGTTTCAACATGCAAGTTCAAAAAAAAAAGTGTAGATGAAAGACTAATAAATGAAATTAATGTTTTTGAATATGTAAAACTGATAGTTCAAAGAAGTGGATAAGTATTAACAAAAATACAAAATAACCAAATTAACAACATAATAGAAAACAGGAAAAATCTAATCTCAGAAAAAGAAATGGAACAAGCTGAAAAGAGCCACCAAAGTAAAAACAAACAAACCCCCCCCCCCAAAACAAGAACATTCCAGGTCCTGAAAGATTCACAAATAAATTTTACCAAAGATTAAAAGATGTTATCACATACTCAAAAAGATCTGTAATCTCTCGTAGATATCAGTTTTCCACCCAATAACGGGGATTGTGACCCCTATGTTCCTACTCATCCTAAGCAAATCTCATCTGCATCCTCTGATAAATGGGACCTGCATTCACTCAAAGTGCTAGTAACTTACTTTCTTTGCTTTTTCCTAATATCACAAAAATACCAGTAGAAGACACAGGCTGTCTACTAGGTATCCCTTGCCTTTGCCAATGGACCAGTCTATCTTTTTAAAGCATCCATATTCTTGATGACTTCCTTTATGTCAGTTCTTTGTAGTTTTTTTTTATGATTATGAATTTTAGTCTGCTCACATTTATGAAGCATCTCCAAATCATCCTCATACTCAGCTTTGAAATTTTCCAAAGGCAATCCAGTTTGCTCTCCTTGTTTTAAATTTGGGGACCATTCATTGCTTTACACTGATAGTCCAGGATATATGTGTTATATATGTGGAAATAGATGTACATACATCTATATACATATACATACATATACACATTTATATGCAGATATAGGGGATTCCAAAAAGGTAAAACTTTTGGGATAGCCTGTATGATACTTTGTATCATACATATACTTATGTACATCATATACAATATATGATAAATCATTATATAATTGTACCATATTATACTTAATGATAATAGTATGTATCATATAATCTGTCATGTACCATTATTATATCATATTACAAGTGTAATAAGTATATAACATATCATTAGATAATATACATTATATAAAAATGATATATAATTATATTTTAATATAATTATAATTATTGATATATACTATGTCAATAATATATAATTGATACATAACCTATTAATAACAATGTATAACAATGTTACATATGGTATAATTATATAAGTGCATACATATTTTACACACATATATCTTGGACATATGTATATGTACCTAACAGATAAAACACATATGAACGATTAGGTTCCCATAGTGGACAATATTACCCCCAGGAGGGTGCTGGAACAATCCAGAGGGGTGGTAGTAGTCTCAGGTACAACTGGGGCAAATTGAATAGAAATAAAGGGGTGATGGAAGCATAAGGAAAGAAGAAAATACAATTTTGAAAAACTGTTTGTACATGTTTCATCTGTTGTACAACAGAGTTAAAGTCGTAGTGATTACATTATTTGCCAAATAAACACACAAAATACAAGTCATAACCTATCAGTAGTCAAGTCCACCAACAGGTCTTAACGAGAAAGTACTGGCAGGTGAGCGTGTTGCGCATTTTTGGGAAGTCTAGCATGTATTGGCAGGAATATGTGTGTGTAATGACTTGTTTACAATATGATGCTATGTGGTTACATGATGTAATATTGCGCCATCAAAATTTCAATGCAGGGAAAAATCCACAAATTTGCAATAAATTATTAAATTTAAGATGCATCATTTATTTTTTAAACATTTATATGTATTTTTGTAATAATGTAAATTTTCTAAAAAAACTGCTTAAAGGGTTAAAAGAAAGTAGATGGGGGGGACTGAGTAACTTTTTTTTTCTTAAAGGGGGCAGCAGGTCAAATAAATTTGGGATCTTCTGGATTGTAAATAAAAAGATCAAGAACTCTAAGTGACGGACAAACCAATAATGGCCCTTGAAAAGAAACAAAGAAACATTTCCCTCCTCTCAGAGGCCAGAGGATTTTAAGAACAGTGTTGCATTACATTGTCTGTTGTAACTATTGGTTGTTTTTGATGAATTCTTTTTTGTTATAAGTAAGGGGGGAAGGAGAGAAGAGAATTATCCAGAAATGAAATTGATATAAAATAAAGGACTCTAATAAGCCATTTTTTTTTTTGTCCAGGCAATGGGGTTAAGTGACTTGCCCAGGATCACACAGCTAGTGAGGATTTTGTGTCTGAGGCCAGATTTGAACTCAGGTCCTCCTGACTCCAGGACCAGAGCTCTATCCACTGTGCCACTTAATAAGACGTTTTTAAAATAAATGTCCAGTTTTTTCAGAACTACTAAAACTTAATAAATATGACAACCATAACTTTAGCACTTCATTCAAACATGAATAGAAAATGATAGATACAAATAAAAGGGTCATTAATATACACAAAGCAAGTCATAAAAACACTGGATGATATTACCTTGATAGGGCTATATCAGACATATAAACTTAGAAGATTTCATACAATTTTCTACTCAGTCAGTGACCAAATAATAAAAACCAACATTCAGGTGCAATATGATTTTTTAATCTTTATAATCCCTATATTTCTCCCAAGCAGCAGGTTACAATCTAATTTATCTAAATATATCTTAATTTTATAAAAAGCTGCATCTGGAATATAGGTAGATTATTATCTCCACTAGCCCTCCATGATCCACAGTACAACAGGAACCAGAAAAGAAAAAGTTTGTTG